AGGGCTACTGAGATGATGAGGGGACTGGAACATCTCCCCTATGAAGAAAGGCTGAGGGAGCTGGGCCTGTTCAGCCTGGAGAAGAGAAGACTGAGGGGGGATCTCATCAATGTGTACAAGTATCTGAAGGGAGGGTGTCAAGAGGATGGGGCCAGACTCTTCTCCGTGGTGCCCAGGGACAGGACAAGAGGCAACGGGCACAAACTGAAACACAGGAAGGTCCGTCTGAACATGAGGAAAAACCTCTTTCCTGTGAGGGTGACTGAGCCCTGGCACAGGTTGCCCAGAGAGGTAGTGGAGTCTCCCTCCCTAGAGATATTCAAAACCCGCCTGGATGCGATCCTGGGCAATGTGCTCTAGGTGACCCTGCTTGAGCAGGGGGGTTGGAGTAGATGATCTCCAGGGGTCCCTTCCAACCCCAACGATTCTGTGATTGCCTGGCCTTTGCTTACAACCTTTCACTATGAAACTTGAAATATTTTTAGGTAAAGATAAGCATACATGGAGGATCACTTTCACTCCTTTCTCAGTCTAACATAAAAGAAGGATGAAATAATATTAGTGAAATACATTATTATAATGAGCCTTGAGAGTCTGATTCCTTTAGATTTGGATTATTGTCTCATCTTTAGAACATAGCCTTAAAATTGAATTCCAAGTAGAATATGCATGAATCCAAAACTACTACTCTTTGCCGTGTCAATAAAATGAGTACAATATTAAGGGCAACAAAGCAAAGAACACTTTTGAGCTCTTTTGTCCCTGTTTTAAAGATTGGTGGGTTGAAATGACATTTGCTGATATGTTAGTCACTTAACTTCTTTGTGGCATACAAAAGCTGCTGTCAGATAAACAGTAATATTTCCTACCCTGTTTAATTAAAGATGTCATTGCCTTTGGAGAATGTTTGTCAATCTGACATGCTTTGAGAAAGTTCTTTTGTCCCTGACTGCTTCAGGGGATTAATCTCTTTCACTGCCCTGTTCTGTGTTCTTATTGCCATCACATTTGTTCCTTGTGTTAACTGCTGCTGTTATTTGCTAGACTTTCTTCTTCAGAGCTGTCAGACCCTGTTTCTCTCAGTTATAAACTTCCCCTCTCCTTCCACCATCTGTCTTCATTTATCTTTTTCTCAAATCCATTTCTTTTAAAGACTTTGTTCATTTGCTGTATAAACCTCTTCTAGTCTCTACTCTTTACAAAAGCCCTGAGTTACTATGCAGTTCATTTTTCTCCAATATCTCCCTGATGTTTTGATTTCTCATTTTAAAATGTCATCATCATTTCTAACTTCACAGCCACATATCTAGATGTATTCTTCCTGTCAGTCAAATATAACTCCTGATGAACCAAATGCAATATTGTTTTATGCAACAGTCACTGCAAAATGTTATTCGGATGG